AATGGTATTTTGAAAGTGAGAGAGAGCACATATGTTGAATTTACATATATTAAATTATTTTATATAATTTCCTTGCTATCCTATACCAACAATCAAAATTAGAATTCTGCTGTGTATTGTCTTACTAATTGTTATTGTACATACATAATTATTGTATGTATTGTATGTATTTTCTTTAATTATATATCTCAGGAAAAAATGAAATGGAATGTCAAGAATAACTTGAGGACCTCAAGCATTAATAATGATGCTGTGTATATTGGTAGCCTGTGACATGAACCACAAATGATCCCTCTATGATTATAATCATGTGTCCTGTGATTCTCCACTTAAACAGGCCTAAATTGGCTGTGTAGCTAAATATGCCAAAACAAACATTTGGGTTACCATTTCCAAAACTAGGGCGTTAAAGTGGGCTGGGTCAGTCATGTGTGAGCTTTCTTGCCCTTCCCTCAGTTGTAAAGAAAGCAAGTTACTGTCATGTTTTGATTGGAGGTGGATATAGGCCTTAAAGAGAGGAATTAAGGCAAATCAACAACAGCCAGATAGTGAACAACAACCAGATGGTGACACAGTGGTGTCCTCAAAGGTGACAGCTGTTCCAACTCAAGCAGTATTCCAGCATTCCAAAGGTGGATCTCACAAAACTTCCAATCTGGGATCCTTAAGGACTGATGTTAAAAAATGAGTACTTACTGTTTTAAACCATGAAATTCTAGATTATCTGTGTGTGTGTGTGTGTGTGTGTGTAAGCTAGTACAATTTTTGAGACAGAAGTTCCATATTATACACTGGGATCAAACATACACTGTAGAATAGGTTGTTCTAGAACTCATAAATATCATACCTAGCCACTCCAATGCCATGGTTACAGGCTTGTGCCATTATTTCATGGACATGGTATTGCATATAAAAGCGTCATTACCTTTTTCCCTTAAGCACATTCTAACATGCAGCAGCATTTTTAAAAATTAGTGTGAGTTATATTACTTAAAAGTTAATTACAAATACAAATAGCCTAGCTTCTATCATTTAACTGGACAACTTAATTTTAATTCTTCTGTTGAAAAAGATACATATAATAACAGACAACATACATTTATTACAGATATTAACATATAACATATATAGAAAACTGATATCAAAAGCAGTTTTTATATGCTATGCTATTTGGATCAAGAAGGTTACTTGTAAATCTGTGGGAAACAGATTCTTAGGTAATAAAATAAAGTATGATGATTATTGCTTACTCTATGAATTACAATAATTCTTTTCTATTAAAAAACTGCTATATGTACATATAAAATAATTAGTACACACACAAAATAATGATTATCTTGGTTTGAATAGATAAGAACTTGGTTATGGACATAGTGTATGTAATCTTACAAGTTGCTGAGTTCACATACAATCTTCACTGGTACATATGCATTTCAATGTGACAGGACATTGTGCCTAAGGTGTGTAATTGATCACAGATCACAGAGGTAGAAGAACTAGAAGTACAATTAGTATCCTACAAGATGTAGTTAGAGAGTAGCTCTGTTTTTTCCTTCTCATAGCTATTCAATGAAAAGTTGATAGTTTGCAGCTTGGAGAAGGACCTTCTTCAAAATCAACCACTGTGACAAATTGATCTGGGCATCCAAGTCTCTGGGATTGTGGGGAACTTATTGTTTACAAACATTTAGTCCATGGAAATTTTTTGTCTTAGACAAAAGAACTATAATTTAAATCTTTTGCAACAGAGTTAAGATGTTTTATACTTTCATATATTATTTTAAACCCTAATATACAGATATAAATGTAAATATAGGTAGATTGCATACAATAATTTTGACTGAAGCAAACAAATCATTTTACTACTAGGCAAAGGTTTGTAGTGCCTCCATTTGACTATTACATGACTTAGATTGTATTCCCTAAATTCCCACAAAATATGTGCCAGACAGTATTATTATTAATTCCAATTGAAATATATTCTTATAAGAATTTAAATCACTCCTAATCAATTAAAAATTTTAAAATCATATACATAAAATGAAAGGCTTAAAAAATAGAGAAAATATGGAAAAAACTAGAGAAATAGCAAACAAATTGTTAGCATTAAAAACACTCAAACCTCCTCTCAGCCACTGATAGATTTCAAAGCCCATCATCAAAAACAGGATAAAAGAAACGAATCACAGAAGCAGCCACAAGGAAAGAGTTGACATGAGAAAATTCTTTCCACACTGAAATAACAAGTGCATTTTAAGCATGCAGTGAATATGCGACACTATAGACTGTATCTTAAAAATATTGAGAGGGCTGAAATTACACAGTACATGTGAGCTCTAAGAAAGGGCTAACAGAAAGAAAGGAGCAAAATTCTCTAAATATGCACCAACACATAATTAATATGAGAATAATGTATAGATCTAAAGCAAAGTCGCAAAAGAAATTAAACAACTGAAAGCAAACATGGTAAAATAAATGCATCACTTTTCTAGAACAATTCTGAAGGATGTTTTTGTTTGTCAAGAATATATATTCTCTTTTCAGAAAATCCAATAAGCATAAGTCAAATACAAAGAAACTAGAAGGGAGGAAATAATACACAGAAAGGAGAAAAGCAAAGATGAAAAGAAGGTAGTAACAGCTACCAGTCGAAAGAAGAGATGGATATTTAGCTAAATCGAAAAAAAAACTTAAATCTAAGGAATACAGCTACAGGTAGGCAGAAGTCTTGAATCACCAGCATTTAAATGAGGAAGAGTATTCATAACCTACTTTGCATGCATCAAAAGAACAATGAACACGAAGTGATCGCCAGGAGTAATCTTAAACCTAAATGCTGTACAATTTAGAAGCATCGCTCATACAAAAATATAACTCAACAAGGAAAGAGCTATATTAGGAATAGTCTCAAAACTACTAAAGAAATTGAGGGTTTTTTTCTAATTAAAACCTCATAAGAAATCTTCATGCAAGAAGAATTCACAAGGACATCTGTTCCACTATGTTCATAGCAGCATTGTTTGTAATAGCCAGAACCTGGAAGCAACCTAGATGCCCATCAGCTGAAGAGTGAATAGGGAAAATGTGGTACATTTACACAAGGGAGCACTACTCATCACGGAAAAATAGACAACAGAATCTTGAAATTTTCAGGCAAATGGATAGCACTAGAAGAAACCATCCTGAGAGAGGTAACCCAGTCACAAAAAGAAAAACATGGTATGTACTCACTCATATATGGATTTTAGACATGAAGCAGGGGAGTGCCAGCCCATAATCCCACTGCCAGAGAATCTGGGATACAGTGAGGACCCTAAGAAAGATATGCACAGTATCCCAGAGAAGGGGAATGGAACAGGATCCCCTGAGTGAACTCCAAGCATGCGGGGAGGGGAAAGGGAGCTGGGGTAAAGTGAGGGGGAGAAGAGACAGGGAGTGGAGGAAATGGGTGAGCAGAAAAGTTGAGTTGGGGGAAGAGTGGAGGAGAGCAGGATGAGAGATACCATAATAGAGGGAGTCATTATAGGTTTCAGGAGAGATCTGGTACTAAAGAGATTTTCAGAGATCTACAAGGATGACACCAACTGGCAATATAAGCAATATAAGCAATATAAGCAATAGTGGAGAGGCTACCTTAAATGCCCTCCCCCGATAATGAGACTGATGACTACCTTACATGCCACCCTAGAGTCTTCATCCAGTGGCTGATGGAAGCAGAGGCAGACACCCACAGTTATGGTCTCAACTGAACTCCTGGAAACAAGTCACAAAATGGAGGGAGTGATGAGCAAAAAGGAGTCATGATCAGGCAGGTAAAACACCTGACCTACATGGACACCGGACTAATGGCTGAGAGGCCAGCATGCAACTTATCCACCTCTGTATGTGGGTGTCAGTGAGGAGACCTCAGCAATCTTTGGGGCTGCGGGTACTAGATCAGTATTTATCCCTGGCATCAGAATGGACTTTGGGAGCCCATTCCACCTGGAGGGATGCTCTTTCAGCCTGGACACATACAGGAGGGCCTAGGCCCTGCCCTGGATGATAGGACAGACTTTGGAGATCCCCCATGAAGGGTCTCACGCTTCCTGGAGAGTGGAGTGGAATTTGGATGCGGGGCTGGGGGTGTTGGTTGGGGCAGGAAAGATCAAAAGGGAGAGGGCGCTAGGATTGACATGTGAAGCAAGCCTATTTCATATTTAAATTTTAAAAAAGAAAAAAATTACTAAAGAGTAACACAAAATAATTAACACATTATTTTTTTGGTTTTTACGAGACAGGGTTTCTCTGTATTGTTTTTGAAGACTGTCAGTCCAGCCTGGCCTCGAACTCACGGAGATCTGCCTGCCTCTGCCTCCCGAGTGCTTGGATTTAAGGCATGCACCACCACTGCCCAGCATAGTTAACACATTTTTAAAATATAACATATACAATTTCAAAAAGAGAAATCTTTCAACTCCATCTACAAATGCCGAATGTGTACATTGAAACAAAGGAAGTAGTACAAAATCAAACACTTACACAATGCTAAATGTGTTCTTACATATGTTTGTATCACCAGTATTTACCACACTTACTGTAATCTACATGGTACAGTCAGGTGTAACCTACTCACAAATCAGACAACAACTCCAATCATATGAAAGAGCAAAATTTTACAGTAATATAGGGGGGAAACTAAGGACTCTGCCATTAGCCATGTGACACTCTAAAGAAGCAAACTGATGTGGTGACGAAAGGGCAGAACGGCGCCGCTAACCATACCCACTTTAGGCATGACTAGACACAGAGCCGCGGGACTACACTGTTAAGAGAAGCTTTATCTTTGCTAGCCACTTTGATTTATCCCCCGCCAGCTGCCTGGGCTCTGCCGCATCAGTCCCAAATAAACACACAGGAGGCTATATTAATTATGAAGCTGTTGGCCTTGCTTGTTTCTTACTGGCTACCTCTTACTTAAGTAATTATCCCATAATTGTTAATCTAAGTATGTTTCTTACCGGAGAATAGGTCCAGGCTTCCTACCCCCATGGCATTACATGTCGACTCTCTTGTGTTTCTCCTTCCCAGAATCCTCCTGGACTCCTAGCCCCACCTATCTAGATTCCTATAGGCTCAACAGTACTTTATTGACAAATAACAGGCAAATAACAGGACTTCCCCAACACTACACCACTAGCCAGGCCCACTTGTGGGCATGGCTAGGGATGTGTATGGAAGAAGGACTAAAAAAAATGAATAGCACAGCGCTGACCCTTTTTCGGCTTCCAGGTCGGGGGCGGAAAACTACTCGACTCATCAAGGTTGCCCAATTTTCTCTTGTGAGTAATTTCTACAATAATTACCTATACCCTCAAGTTTACCGTTGCAGCATCATTTTCATGTCGGAAGTTCCAGAACCCAGATCCAGGCGCCCTGAAAGCAGCTGCTACTCGGCCCAACCACCTCCAGCCCCAGACACACGTGAATTCTCCTTTCGTTAAGTTCCCCATCACTTTCCTGGGCAAGGCACAATTCCCACTGCCAGGACAGCACCTTCAAACTGCTGGTAAGGTTAAGTGATCTGAGGTTTCTCTCGTGGCCACATGCTCTTTCACTGGCAGCCTGCTAAATTTGGCCTGAATAAAACTCCACTGGTAATAAACTTAACTACTTTACAATGGCAACTAACATTACAATGCAGGATGTTAAGAATTTTCTTGTTTTTGTATGGATAGGATATTAGAAAGGGTTGAGGACCTACCTGGAAGGCACTTTCTACCCATGATGGTGATTATCAGTTTGATAATCCATATAATTTTACTAAAGAAACACTTTGAGAATAGGTCAAAAAATGACAAACTTATAAAGATCATACAGTCATCGCAGCATGGTTATGAAGTCCTAATACAAAGAATTCAGAAAATGGAAAATTCCTTGCAGGATAGTAAGGAAGTTTTGGTAAAAATTATTCGAGATATTCAAAATGATAATGTAGATCTGATGAACAGATTTAAAGAGACAGAACATAAAATTGAATTACTTTCAGGAAAATTATGTTCTATATCTATTGATTCAACAGACAGAATAGAAAAATTGGAACATAATGTTGAAACGTTTAACCAACAAAACTGTTCCGTGTTTGATGATTTCACTAACAAACTACAAAGACTGGAACATAAGATTGAAATGCTAACAGAAAAGATTTGTTCCATGTCTGAGAGCAATGACGAACTAGCTGATAGAACATTATTTCTGGAAGGCAGTTTACATGCTATTGAGATACTTTATAAGGATCAGAATATTAAATATTTGGAATCACATATAAATAATGAATGCAAAAAAATAAATTATTCCATGGCATCCTTGGAAAATTATTTGACCCAAGAACTTCAAGAGCTCAGAGATACAATGATAAATTGACTGCAGGTCTCAGAAGACATCCAATCTGTTACTTCAGAATCAGACATATAGGCAACAGGTCAGGATAGAGGTTTTCTTACACCTCTCAAATGCTGGAAAGACCTCCCTAAGGTTGTTATGGCCTCTCCTATGGTCTTCCCAGTATCTGTAACCAAAAAACCAGCAACAAAAAAGCACCCACATGGTTTGGTTGCTTATCAGTGGGAAGCTATACAGATAAAAGACCTAAAGGGAATCTCTAGGAAGCCATTGTTTCATATGGTCTTCATTCTCCCTATGTGAGAAGCTCCTGAACTCATGGGCCACTGCAAATAGAGTAACCCCAAGAGAGTGGGCCCAATTGGCCTTGGAAGTGTTCGAAAATTCATGTCAAATTCAATGGAGAGCTTTATGGAGGCAAGAGGTGAAAGCCCTAGAGATTCAGTGATTAAAGAATGGTTATGAATCACCCCAAGACAAGATTCTTGTGGAAGGTGCCTACCCTGACCTGCAGGTTCAGTCCGCATGTGATGAGCACATGTTGTCTTCATGCCATACAACCACTTTGAATGCTTTGGATAAGCTTTGTGAAACAGGAGAGATATAATTCAACCCTATACCAAAGTAGTACAGGGTCCAAGGGAAAGATTCACTGAATTTTTAGAAAGATTTTCCAGAGTAATAGAAGTACAAGTAACAAATCCAGAATCTAGGTCATTCCTTATAGATTCTTTGGCATACGAGAATGCAAATCCACAATGCAAGAAGGTACATTGGCCATTAAAAATAAGATCAACACCATTGCAGGAATTGGTACTATATACAGCTAACCTTGAATATAAAAGTCAGGAGACAGGAGATTGAGTAGGAGAAGCGATTTCTAAAGGTTTGAGGAGGCATGAGGATGGCAACTGCCCTACCCTTGTCAATAGAGAGGCCTGGGTAGGGGAGGCAATCTCCAAAAATTTCAACAGACATAAAGATGCCACTTGCTTTGACTGTGGTAAAATAGGACATCTAAGTAGGAATTGTAGATGAAGCATTCCCAGAAATAATGCTTCTACCAGGAATGCTTGAGACAGAAGGCCTCAGCCTTCTGGTGTTTTCAGGAGGTGTGGCAAGGGAAAACATTGGACCAAGGAATGCTGGTCAACTACAGACAGACAAGGTAGACCTTTAAAGCTGGGTAACTGGTACAGGGGCCTCATGAAGGCCCCATATCAAAGGTAGTCCAGTCATTCCCAGTAGCAGTGGAGAACAGCCTCTGCAGGACAATTAGAAGATCCACTGCCCATTATAAATAATACAGCACTGGATAATACATTAGCTACAGAGGATGAAGCAATTATATCAGGGAGAAATACAAAACGTATATTTTGGCAAACTTCTATACAATATCATAGACCCAAGTTACCAGTTAAAGTAAATAATATGGTGATTAATGGGATTTTAGACACTTGAAGTGATGTCACAATCAGAAATCAGAAATCTTGGCCCCCAATTTGGCCTCTTAAAGAGGTAAACATTCAATTCGTAGGGATTGGAACCCTATCTCAAGTTAAACAAAGCATTAGATGGATTGACTTTATTGAGCCAGAAGGACAGAGAGGAAGGTTAAAAACATATGTTGCAGATATTGCTATAAATCTCTGGGGTCGTGATCTATTACAGCAATGGAATATGCAGATTATTATTCCTCCTGGTATCAGATAGGAATTATAGACAAGCCCCTGGTGGTAGAAAGAATATAGTAAGGCAGTACAGAAAATAGATGCCAAAATTACTGGCTGTACAGAAACAGGATGCTAGTGCCAACCCTACAGAGCAAACAAAAGCTCTACCCTTAAAATGGCTAACAGATGAACCTGTGTGGGTAGGTCGATAGCCTATGACATCTGAGAAGTTATAGGCTTTGGAGAAGTTAGTTCAGTAATAGCTAGATGCTAGACATATTAAGGAATCAACTAGTGCATGGAATTTACCTGTTTTTCTTATCAAGAAAATGTCTGGGAGCCTGACGGTGGTGGCACAAGCCTTTAATCCCAGCACTCAAGAGGCAGAGGCAGGTGGATCTCTGTGAGTTCGAGGCCGGGCTGGACCGACAGCCTCCAAAACAATACAGAGAAACCCTGTCTCATAAAAACAAAAAAAAAAACAAAAAAAAGAAGAAGTCTGGGAAATGGAGAATGGTTACTGATCTTAGAGTCATCAACAAGGTAATTTAGCTTATGGGGTCTCTACAAACTGAGATGCTACTACCTTCTCTAATACCTAAGGATTGGCCAATTACAGTTATAGATTTAAAAGTTTGCTTCTTCACTATACCATTACAAGATAACAACAGAGAAAAGTTCTCCTTCATAGTACCTACCTATAATATTTCCCAACCAGTACAAAGATTCCAGTGGAAGGTCCTACCTCAAGGTATGTTAAATAGCCCAACTTTATGTCAATATTTTGTACATAAACCTCTAGAAATAATTTTTAAACAATTTTCACATTCATTAATATATCATTATATGGATGACATATTACTGTCTGATTCAAATAAGGATACTTTGGAAAAGGTGTTTGAAGCAGTAAAGGAAACTTTGCCTTGCTGGGGATTACAAATTGCCCAAGAAAAAAATACAAAGAGGAGATTCTATTAGTTATTTAGGTTATAAAATAGACTCTTAGAAAATTATACTGCAGAAAATACAGATCAGAAGAGACTGTTACCAGACTCTTAATGATCTTCAAAAACTATTAGGAGAAATCTCTCAATAGAAGGCATGATTTAAAACACATGAAAATGGCTTTAAAAGGAGACAAAAACCTAAATAGACCACAAGTACTATCAGCTGAGGCTGAAAAGGAATTAGAATGGGTAGAAAAGAGAATATTAAAAGCACATGTGAACCATGTGGATCCAAAACTGGACTGTAGTCTAGTTATTTTTACCATCTAGAGAATACCCCTCAAGAATTTTAGTGCAGAGGGACAACATCATATTAGAATGAGTATTTCTGCCACATAAACAAAATAAAAAACTGAAAACATATATAGAAAATATCTCAGATTTGATATTAAAAGGTAAGTTAAGGCTTCGTCAACTGTCTGGGAAAGTGACCTCATGAAAGGAAAGAGAAGTGTTTTCTTTCTTGTCTTCACAGGAAAATTCAGTGAAAGAATACTGGATGTATAGATTCCTGAAGAATAATGAATAGCTACCCTGAGGACCATCAAACAAACAATAACTCACTATGTGGTATCAAAGTCTAAATCTCTCTATATTGTTTTTTTAATACCCATTTATCTTTGTTTCTTCATATATGTTAGTCCCCATTCATTTAACTGAAGCTGGCTTTGGAGTTGGATTGGCTCTCCTACTCTAAATTCAAGCATATTGCTTAAATAAAATTCCCCAGAAACCAAATAAATGTTCCACAGACATGCCCATAGGCCAATTTGATAAAGAAAATTCCTAAATTTCAGTTTTATTTTTTTCCACAGGTATGCCAGTTGGTAACAGAGATCAAGAGCCACAGCTACCTAACCCACAGTACTCAGGAACATTATTGTATGTTGAGAAAATATCTTTCAAGTGCTGTTGTGGATAATGTAAGATCACTGGTATTTGGACTGGTGAATTACAAGTAGAGTCTTTTTTTTGTTTTTTGA